GCCAATTTACCATTTCAACTTTGTTGATATATCCTAATTACAAGCATGATGTGTACATGACTACTCAATTAGGGCTCGAATTGGGCTGGTGAGAACCTACCACACTTCAGAATTTTGTTATTGTTTTGCTTTCCATCAGTTTGATTACTATCATAATGGTAATTTTATCTACTTGACAGTGGACTACATGTAGATGAGGTCTCGATTCCTGAAAGAATTTTGTGGCTCAGGATTGTTTACAGTAGAACTGTATTTATCATTAGTGGGAATCTTGAATCCTCAAATCCAATTGGCAAATCGTGTGCTAGTAACTGGTCCAGTTTTTCACGTTGCAAACCAAGGTTTAGAAATGTTTTCAATGCCAATGGCAGAAAAGCAGAGAAGAGCAAACAAGCAGAAAAAAAACCGTGTACTTAGTCTCAAGCATGGCCCTCTACTTATGGCTGCAGGCTACATTTAACACTTGTGGAATGCTTTTTGCCCTTAATTATAGACCCCTTGTGCAGCAAATAACAATAATACCCTATTTGTGTTTTTGTGTAAGACACATTGTAAATGCCCTCTCAGTTTGTTAAAGTTACAGTACACTGTTTATCAGTTGATTGTAGTTCAGTGATATATTGTTTGAGCTTACATGTACAATTCTCTCAAAGGAGCGGCAAATCTTCCATTCAGAAAGTTGTTTTCCACAAGATGTCACCAAATGAAACGCTTTTCTTGGAAAGTACCAATAAAATAGTGAAAGATGGTATCCTTGGAAATGGTAGATGGTGTAACTAAATATACATCACACACTCTAGAATACAAATGTAGGTTTCAAATTAATAGAACCATAATAAATATTAATTAATGCTTAATGAAACCATAAGAAATATTCATTAACACTTAATGATTAACATGTAACTTCTCCATATACTATCCATACATTATTCAGCAAACAGGTAATGAGAATACTCAAGTTTATCAGGTTGAAGTTGTTATCTTGATCTATACACCACATTCACAGAACTGATTCACAAGGAAATGCATAGCAGTTGGATTTTGAGAGTTTAAAAGGTTCGACATATTCCTGTTTAACACTGGTTGAGCTGAAAGTAAAAACATTGACAGAGAAACCTTCAATCAAAGTTGAAAAAACTTTCAGATTTTGAATTTCTCTTAGCTGTGTTCATCTTAATTTTTTCTTGTTCTGTTCCGCCATTTATTTCTCCAATATAATGATAAAAGAAGAGTGATTTAAGTTTTTTTAAAAATGTAGTTTTGAAGAATTACATTCATTTTGTAGAATGTTCACACAAAGTTTTGTGTAATTGAAGCATTTTTTTCCTTTAACTATATGATCCCCAAGATATTTCAAATAGCTCATTTGTGCAGTTCCAGGTATGTTTCTTGTACTATCTGTTTTGTATTCATGTTTTAAATATATGGTATGGCATATGTATGATTTTGTAAGCAATGACTGCACTTTCTATAGGTTTTCCATCATGATGCAAACTCAAACAGGATGATGTTTGTAAATCATAAGCCTTAATTTGCTTTCTTTCATCCAGTGGTCTATCTGGTTCTCATTTTTTACTATTTTTTTTTCTTCTTTTGTAGATTTGGGACTTCCCAGGCCAGATTGATTTTTTTGACCCAGCATTTGATTCAGAAGTGTTGTTTGGCCATTGTGGAGCTCTTGTCTTTGTTATAGATGCACAGGTTTGTATATTTAACAATTATTTGCCAAAGGTGAGGTGAATATCGTCGAATAATTTCTGAGACTTCGTCTCGGGGATTATTCCACAATATTAACCAAACTTGAGGCAAATAATTCTTTTTAATTAGACTAAGTATAATTTCAGAGTTGAACAACAGAGAAATTTCTAAAATCATAACATTTTAGTAACATTTATTAACACTTTATTTTAACAGTTTATATAAACCGCGTGGAGCAGTTTATATAGTGTCATATAAGGAACTGCTCGACCAATCAGATTGCTGGAAACTCTTCTCAGCTCTGAAATTATACTAATTTATGTTATAAGTCTAGGAAGAGCATATGTTGCAGCTGGAAATCATTTGACTGATTTTGCTGTAATTAACCATTCAGGGAAGGGTACTTGTAGCTCTGAAAGTGATTAAGCAGTTTAAGTTTTCACTATCTGAGCCAAAGTGATCATAAATTCGTGAAATGCTGACATCATTAAAACAAGATAATAATGTTTTACCAGCTGAATTGTAATGTTAATTGGTCACAGTGAAGAGTTTCTAAAACTGACATTTTTTAGCATTAGCCCTTAATTCACTCTGACAAAGAATATTGTTTCGCTTGGAATGAAACCAATTTTTTTTTTTTTTTTTTTTTTTTGGTGTTATGTTTTTAGGATGATTATATGGAGGCCCTGGGAAAGCTCCATATGACTGTAACAAGGGCATACAAGGTAAGCCGGAGCAATAGTCTCTTAAGTGACCAGCATCTGATTTAATATCACCCCTGAATCACACAGTAAGGGCACAAGAATAAAGGATAATCAGGGGTCTCAAAATGTTTTGAAGTAGGCGACCGACTCTGGAGAAGTGCATGTAGGCGGCCTACTTTGGAGAAGTAGGCAGCTGTGATAATGCCGAAGTAGTTTGTCACCAGCATACTGTTATGACCAGAGTAGCTCGCGACATACAATCAAGTAGGCAGCGGAACTCTGGTGGTCGCCGGCTTGTTTTGATACCACTGATAATGCTTGATAATGTATGAATATTTTAGAAAGAAGTTTCATATTAATCACCTCTGGGATTTTGTGCCACTGAAGCTGGGATATTATTATTGGCAGGGTAGGCTCATAAGCACCCTTTGTCACACAATCCACTCAGTTGTTAACTTAAAAGAGTTCTAGTGATCAACATTTAACTTATCCTTATAATGTCCATACGTTATCCAGCAAACAGGTACCGAGAATACTCAAACTAATCCGGTAGAAGGAGAAGCTCAGCTGTCGTGATCTAACACTAAATTCTCAGAACTTATTGAGAAGGAAGTGTGTAGCAGCTAGAGGGGAGAATAAAGAAGAGTTTAAAAGGGTTAGAGTTGGGTATTTCATTTCATTTCTGTAGAAAGTGCTGTTAATAGAAATCCTTTCTTGAAATCTCTATAGGTCAACCCAAACATCAAGTTTGAAGTATTTATTCACAAAGTAGACGGATTATCCGATGATCATAAAATTGGTAAGATAACAAGACTACTGGCTTTCTTTCATAGTGCAATGCTCCACAGTGATCCCTTGAATTTATTCAAAGTCTTCTTCATGTGAACCAGTACTCATGAAACCAAAAAGCTAGGAAAGTTGAAAGTCATATTTCCCAGTTGGCGAGCGCGTTCATAAGTATATTGATGTGTGTACGCTTAGTAATTTGTTTTGATCGAAGGCTGAAATATCTTGTGAAAACTTTGTGTTATTGTATTTTGTGCTGAGGCAAAAATTTCCTGTTTGCAATATAAAGCTGGTTGATTCTGATGGTTTTGTTTTTCCAATTTTGTGTGTTTAACACAGAGACTCAACGTGATATTCACCAGAGAGCAACCGATGACCTTGCTGATGCAGGACTGGAAGGCTTGCACCTGAGGTATATTTAACCCTTGACACCCTAACATCAGCATGCATATTCTCCATACTGTTCTCTATACATTTTCTAAGGTGCTGACAAGGAGAATTTGTTTAACAATCAAGAGCTTGTTTCGAGTTGGCGATCATTTTCATTTACTCTCATGTCCCTCGTGTGTGATTCAGGGCTGATATTGTAAGGGGAAATTAGATGTTAGACACTCTGAGGGTTTAAATTGTTAAATTTCAGTGTACATGTACAGCGCGTTGCTTGACGGTGTTTTGGAATGCTGCAGGATTGCAAACCTACATGGACAAAAACATCACACTACATTAGCATATAGCAAGTTACCATGCTTTGCAATATGTGATAATTTAATGGATTTTTCTGTCTTATTTTGCAGTTTCTACTTGACTAGTATATACGATCACTCAATATTTGAGGTGAGGTGCCGGATATTGGTGCTCATTAATGAACGTCAATCGCATTGCACAGCGAGAGAGCAATACATGGTGCGCACAGAAATGGAATTTCTCTTTGACTATTCAACTCGAGTTGAACACGAGAAGAGAAATTCCATATCTACTAGTAAACCATGCATTGTTTAGTGAAATACACATATGCACAAACACCACATGATTTTACTGCCAAGAAAATTCGACAAACGACTTTGGATCGAGAGCAGTGAACACTTGCTGTTCATTGACCAACCTGACAGAGTTGCGTGACCTACAAGCGACTTGTCAGCGGTTGATCGGTGATGTCACGTGAGCTCACGTCATGGTGCATTTGAAGGCGCCCTTGTATGACTTACAAGGTACAGCTTTGGTGCCTTTTTCCAGGCAATTAACTTCTACTCTGTGAGAGAAAAATTGAAGGAAATCTTACGTGCACGGCAAACACAAAACAGGTTACTTTCACGTAGAAACGGGAAAGCGTGAAAAATGGCGGGAAAAACAAGGTCACGTGGTCACTTCTCGTTCTTGTTTCACGTAAACGCGGCACTAAATCTCTCTCTATTGTATTTTTACACGTGTGCAGTGACGGCTTTTCTTAGAACTGGAAATCCTTGCAAAACACCGTATTTTATGTACGTAAGTCCATATTAGTTGGTGTGAAGTATAGGAACAATTTAATACTTTGAATGCTAAAACCATAACACAGGGACACCAATTTTTGTGCTGTGCCGATGGTCATTTTAATTGTTATCATTATGTTTTCAGGCTTTTAGTAAAGTGGTTCAAAAACTCGTCCCACAACTTCCAACGTTGGAGAACTTATTAAATATTCTTATAACAGTAAGTACAGTGCATCTGTTTCTAGACGTCAAGTAACTTAGTTGAACCAGCTGAGTTGATAAAAAAAATAATAATTAAAAATAATGATAATAATAAAAATATGAACTTCATATATTCATTGTATCTGAGTTGATAATATAAACTGGCCACTGCAGAGAGATTGTAAAGTGGACGTTTTAAGCGTTAGCCCTTCGTCAGAGTTTTGCTCTGTTTTGCTCTGACAAAGGGCTAGTTTAGCTTCTAAAATTCTCTACAATGGCCAATTTACATTATCACTGTAGATGATAACACAAAATTATCTTGTTACATTCCCCACCGACGCGGCACCACAGCTTCTTTTGCTTCCTTTATGAAACAGCTGACAAAAGACGGGTCCTTCTCTCCCATTCGCTCTATTGGGTCTACGGCCTTTATCAGTCGTACCTAATAAAGCTGTTAAAAAAAAATAATGGGATCAAATTGCTTGAAGCCTACATACATTTATCCCCTTCCTTTCCTTTCTTGCTAATCGTGATAAAGTAGAAATTTGCAGTGTAGATGGAAAAATGCGTAGAACATCAAAATGTCCAGAAGATGATTAAACTGCCTATTGAATATGCACGGTCTTTTTTATCTTAGATTTCAACTTTGTAAGGAGTTTGTAAGATTTAAAGTACCCTGTACACATCATCTTTAATTTGAGGTTTATTCTGTATATTCGTTTTGTCCCCTTCTTATTCCAAGAACTCAGGTATCGAGAAAGCCTTTCTGTTTGATGTTGTCAGCAAGATTTACGTGGCTACTGACAGGTAAGTGACTTCGCAACTCGCTAAATATCCGCGGGTATCCTGCGTTAAATCGTTGATCCGTTGACGTATATTCATGTACAATTAAGGGTGCGCTAAACCATATTTAATGGATAGAGGACTTTTTTGCAAGTTAACATGGTCTCATCTAAACACGGGGGTGGTTGGGAGAATTCGAAAAAGTTAACCCGAGAAGCTTACGAGGGTTTGCTTAACTTTTGAGAATTCTTCGAACCATCTTCATGTTTAGGAAAGGATGTGGAAACATGGTAACAAGTCATCTAATCCTTAAAAAAATATTTCTGGGAAAGCTTAGGAACAGTGTTTACACACTCTCGTGCAAACTCACTTGACCAATGAGAGCGTGCCTACTATCTTTAATATTTGATGAATGTGATGATTTTTAAACTGTGATCCTCGATTTTTGTATTCTTTTTTTTTTTTTTGCCTAGTTCGCCAGTTGACATGCAGTCCTACGAGCTTTGTTGTGACATGATCGACGTTGTTATTGATATTTCATGCATTTATGGGTAAGAAAGTCAACCCTAGTGTTAATTACACGTGTACTTTGCATTGAGTTCCCTGATTTTACCTCTATGGATGAATTCCTGTGGCAGGAGTTTCTTGAAAAGGTGGTTGCCTGCGGCCTGTAAGATCTCTCGCCGCTTTTTGTTGAGCCCGCGAGCAGGGTCTCGTATCTGGGTTTCGCCTAACAGCACATGCGCTTATTATAGCATCGGCAGCTGGTTATTGAAAGCCCTACTAAAATGTACAACACTTTACCCCCCTAACGTTAGTATGCATATTCTCCATACCGTTCTCTATACATTTCCTAAGATGCTGACAAGGAGAATTTGTTTAACAATCAAGAGCTTCTTTAGTTGTTGATTATTTCCTATATTCTCGTGACTGTGATTTATGGATGATATTGTAAGGAGAAGTTAGATGTTGGTCGCTCTTAGGGGTTCATGGGTTAAATTACGCGACGTTTTGAACTACTCAACTGTACCTGTCTGTGATATATGGCGTGTTCAATACAAATTTGCTCGGATTTGTGATATAGGAAACTCAATTGCAGTAAGAAAGCAATGCCTCTTGAATTAACGCCAGTTGAAGAAAAATGACTTTCCTATGAGGAAAATTAACGCAAAAGAGGCACTTAAAGTTTAAGGTTAAAGAACTTGACGGTCACCTCCGGCTCGTGATTTACAAACATTTATCGTATTCTTGAACATCCCGTGTGGGTTATTACGCTGGTCAACTGATAGAAAATACATTCCTCTGCTTAATTAAACAATAATTGTTTTTTCGGTCCTCAATAGGCTAAGAGAGGAGGGAGACAGCAGTGCGTATGACATGGAGTCTTCTTCTATCATCAAACTCAACAACTCGACCATTCTGTATCTGCGAGAGGTGAACAAGTAAGTGAGCGTTTCCGTGGCGTTCAGAGGTCATGCACCCCTTACGTAAAGAGTTGCATGACCCGCTAATTTATCAAATGATATTTTCGCAACATGCCAATTTCGCGAATTTTGCGATTCCGAAAAAGTCGTGAAATTAAAGCGACGTGAACAATAAGTGTCGCGATCATGACATGGCGCGAAAATAGCAAGCATGAACTCCTTGCGGATATTGCGAGAACCGTTTAATTCATGGCTCGACACTAACTTTTCAACTTACTAGCCAAGTGGCTAGTGACATCTTACATGTTTTTAGATGTTACGACAATTTTAGTCTATTTACTAGCCAAACTGGCCCGTGGAAATTGAAAACCACCAGCCAAAACTGAATTTCTACTAGTCTGTGGCTAGTGGGGTATCGTTAGTGTCGAGCCCTGAGTATCAATTGTTACTACTGACGTTTAGTCCTACTGTTGCGCTTTTGGTAATTTTGATGTTATTGTTCCTTCGATGAAGTCGTTTCATTTAATTAAAAGAGTTTTGAAAGAATATTGCCAAGGAAAGGCTAGCTGTGTCTTACTCAAAAACGCGAAATTAAAGAGCCTCTAAAATACGCCATTTTCGCAAAATCGCGGAATTCAGGTGTCGTGAAATATGCGCACCTCAAAATCGCGAACTAATTAACCTGCTGCGAAAATTTCGCTGCATAAGGTAGTTTGTTATTTCTTTGCAATTGCAGCCGGTAAAGTCGTGGCAGTCATCTGTTATTGTTGTTGTTTTTTTAATGGTCTGTCGTACTACAGTGTATGTACTTATTGACTTAGCGAGAACTTAGCTGGACGGGAAAATGTTCGACTCAAGGTCATAACGTAAGGACCGAACGCAAAACGTTTACTCGTTCGATCTCTCCTGCCAAATTGGTTGGGGCGAAGCTTATAAATAAAATAGATAAATAAAATAAAATATGACCACTAAGTGAATGATATTTTGAAAATTTTGTTCAACCTGAATATGACCTTCTTGCATAAAAAAGGAAGGGCGCGCACTAGGCAGCAGCGAAAAGGATTCTACAATTAAAACTTTTCCTATTTAATTGCGGTTTACATAACGCAGTTATTGTCGAGTATATTTCGGGACAAAGAAGCAACTTACGTATGCCTCAAAGCTCAGTTAGAAGGAGCGCCAAATTTAACTTTTATTTGAATAGCATGAGGTATGATTTTTTTCCTGCAGTTTCCTTAACTGAAGTTAACCTGCGAGTAACATTTCTTTTTGGAGCTTTGATAAAGAAGTAGATCACATTTTTGTTAGTTGTTGTATTCAGGAACAATTCAAGGTTACTGTTTTGTTCGCAGATTCCTTGCCTTGGTCTGCATTCTAAGAGAAGACAACTTCGAGAAAAAAGGTCAGTGTACAGTGTATGTAAATGGATGTTATTCTCTGTTTAATTTTGATAACGTTTAATTATGAAAGAAGTGCTGAATACTCCTTTTTCTTGCATATATTATTATTTCTTCGGATTAAACACGAAGGCGCGCTATATAAGAAAGTCTTCCTTGGGAAGACCTAGGCTCATTTGTCACTCACCGTTGACGTGTGCGGGTCAAATTTAAATGCTGGTAGACGAACAAAAGGAGCTAATGAGATATCTATTGTTTAGTTCCACCAGCATGGTGGCATGAGGTAACGTGCGAACCACCTACTTCGCTCTCAAATTTACCGCCACAAATAAAGACAATTAATATTGGAGAAAGGAAATACAAATCTCAAAAATTCTTGTATTGTGATGAGGACATAAAACAATTTTGAGGAATGCGCCCGCTGTTCACTGCTTTGGAGTAGCTGTAGCTCAAGCTGACTTGACTCTAAGAGTTCTACATCACACGACGGTTGATTGACAAATGGTCCAGTGGGACCTAAGGCTCCTTTTATAGCGCGCCTTCGTGTTTAAAACCTGAAGATTTCTTAACCCTTCACACCCTAACATCAGTATGCATATTCTCCTTACTGTTCTCTATACATTTCCTTGGGTGCTCACAAGGAGAATTTGTTTAACAATCAAGGGCTTCTTTAGCTGTTGGTCACTTCTTTTATTCTCTTGACCTCAATGGTGGCCAAGGGTTCAACATACGCTTTATGGTATTTCAATAAATAAAACGCGAACGTGACCAGGAAGTTTATCAAAATACATTTTTTTTTTGCTGTGATTTTATATCAAGTCGCTTGTCCCATGCTTGCGCGACTTGCTGTGATGCTGCAAACGAGATGTCAGCCAGCTGCGCCTGGCTCTTTTTACATTTGGCTTTCCAAAAAGCACTGACCACAGAGTTTTAACCCTGTCGCTATGCTTTCTCTAGCCTGCGAGTAGGCCTTCATTATTTGCGCGTGGGCATGAGTGTTTATTTGCATGTGCTGGAAATTATGAAGCCTTAAACAAGACAAATCGGCGAGACGCGTGCGAGAGGTCTAGTACCGACTATTATTAATGCCAGACCCAGACAAGCTTCTCCCCGACTCGTCTCCAATCTTTCCGAGGGCGAGAAACGCGCGTCTTGGATCGCTATTGATTATTGCAATGCTTGTTCTTTTCATCTCTAACATGTCTATATTTATCGTAGGTTTGATAGACTACAACTTCTACTGCTTCCGTCAAGCTATCAGTGAGGTATCTGAGTTATATTTGACTTACAGCTCATTAACTGAAAAGATATATCGAAAAACCAAAACCAAAGTAAGCACTCTGGCTGAGAGATTGTCAACAGTTTATATCTTGCTATGGCCGATCATAACAGAGGAGAACATCGCTAGCCAGTGACAACTCGTAATAAAAACAGGCAAACTACTAAAAGCGCGGGAAAACCCGGGTGACCGAGCAGCGATTGGCATTCGATTTGCGTCTCATAGGTCAAGAGGATGGCGCGAGTTTTCTCGACCAATCACAGAGCGAGTTCGAGCAAAAACAAAGGAATCCGGGATTACTGTTGTCACCCATTGAAAATTGGTCTATCTGTCCGATGAAATCGAACTTGTTTTATTTCAGAACGGTTCAAAGCTGCTCGGATTTAGTTTGTTTTATTGGACAAAAGACATTTCACTGCGGTTCCCTGTACCCAGAACTAAGTTTTTCTAGGCGCGATTTGTGCAAATCAGGGTTTTTTTATAGCAGCATATATGTACTTACCAGATTAGTCTAAAATCTGTTTGTTTGTTGTTTGTTTGATTCGTTTGTTGTTTTTATTTTGTTTTGTCTTTTGTTTTTAAAGTTTGTTCATTTGTTAGTTTTGTTTTGTTTTGTTTTTTTGTTTTTGTTTTTGGATTTTCACTAATCAGACGTCAGTTGCTATACATGCTTGGAGGTCAATTCTCCTGGAGTGGTATCTGATTTATGTTCTTGAATTACTTTTTCAAATCTAGTAATTCGTCAAAGTTTATTTTTCCTTTCCTCAGGTGTTTGAGGTCAAGCGCCAGATGAGGTCTGTGTCCGATACTGGCTCCCAGTCCCCTTCTGCTGCGTACTCAAACGGCAGCGCAATCCCGGCCCTGGATCATGAAAGAAATGACAACGCTGTAGTTGTGTAGCGCATGCTCAAATGTGCTGCTTTCCAATGTGTTTAATAAGAAATAAGCGTCGCTGCACTTCAAAGGGAGATGGTCTTACTTTAACGGGCCTTTCGTCTCCAATATGAAACGGCCTTCGCTGTCAGTTTTTGTCCAGCCTCAGTTACTCATTGTAGTTCCCAAAATGCTAAAAATGTGATTGTTATAATGGTAAACCGTGTTGTGTCTTGCGTTGTACTGTATATTGTAAACGTGACCCTGTTATAATTATCTCATATTTTGACACTCTTGTTTGTCAAGGTTGCTGTCTTGTTGTTTGAGAAGCCAAATGAAACAAGAACACAAGCTAAGAAAAAAAAATAAGTAAATATGAAATCTGTATTACAAAAGCAGGGCTTATTTCAATCTTGCTCTCTGATAATTTCTAAATCCCCAAATTTAAAGGGCTCCCCGCAGCTTGAGGAATCCAATGTCACGCAACGGTCTTAGCACGAGACTAGCGTGGCGTGACAAGTTTAGAACCGACGATGACCAGACCACCTGTTTTGGCAAGGGGTGAATATTTGGAGTAGAAATCTGTTAAGTAGTTTAGTTCATGAACCGGGCAGGTCTGTAAATTAGTGAGGATTGTGTACTAATTGTAAATAAGTAGTTAAGGAGAACCATATATTTCTGAAAAGGAGAAGTTTGATTGGTATTTGATAACAGATCCTAACGAATAAAGAACAGTTTTCCCTCGAGTTGTATTCAAAGTTTTTCACGTGGAAGCGTCAAGCAACAAAAGGCCGTTTCTCATCATCTGCCTCCGTAAATTTTCTTTTTGTTTCATAGACAAAAAGGATTTTGTCAAGGTTGTCACACATTTTATTTCCAAGGGCTACCAATGCAAATTAGCGGCTTTAAATCAAAGATATGGTCACAGCTCTGATCTTGCTACAGCAAAGTAACGATAACCCGACCATGGCCATTTGCGTTATAACAGCATTCACTCTGCTGATCTTTTCCAGCATTGTAGGAGCCTCCTCCACCCCCACAGGAATCATCGTTGTTATTTCCACTGCTCCCCCCGGAATATCCTCCTCCTCCTCCGGCGCCTCCTGCTTGTCCGTATGAACCACCACCCCCTCCAAAGCCACCCACGATATTGTCAAATTTGGCCCTCCCACCCGCTCCTCCTTGGAGAAATCCCTTGCCACCTTCCCCACCGCTTCCCATGGTACCACCAAACTGCCTTGAACTTCTTCCACTGGAGTAAAAACCACCCCCGCCACCACCTGTTATTAAAGTCAAATTAAGAATGAAATGAAGAAATAATCATTTATCCACACAATCAACTGGGGGAAATATTTTTTTAAACCGAAAATTTGGTAATTATTAAATACACCTACTCTTAATGGAAGAAGTAGGCCAGAAGAAGGGAAGGGGACTACATCTTAGTAGTTGGAAAATATCTTATCATCGCTGAGTCGCCTGTACGAGAAACTAAACTGAAATGAAAGAATGCCCACTGTAAAAATAAAATGAATAAATAAATAAAAAGTTGAATAAATAAGACGAGCTAAAACCTTAAAAAAGACAAAAAAAAGAAAAAGATGAGTAATTACATAGACAAAATGAAAACAAGAGAAAATCATATATAACGTAGAAACAGATCTTTGATTACTATTTAAAAGTAGGGAGCAACTTGTACTCGACTTTGTACACTCATACCGCACGAGATGTCATAGCACTTTTAGCGTA